GTCAATTCCTCTCCTGGCTTCACTATACCATTAGCGATAAGCTTTCAGATATACCTCCTCGCATTTGACGCTACTCCGCACAAACGCTCACAAAGATATTGTCCAGGTAGCTAACGCCTTGCCATCCATGCTGACTTGATCCCCCGCTCAGCATGCAGGCCGCGAGAAGCTTCACTGTGAAGAACTGGCTACCCTGTCGGTGTTGAAGATCTCCGGCTGTCTTTGCTCAGCTTCTTTCAGGGCCGCGATACAGAAGCCCACGTCCAGAGTAATTGGAGAGCCTCCAGTCCAGCACGTACCGGCTGTGCAATTCCTAATTGCCACGCTATAAAGGAATCCCCGGGACAACCAAAGGACAAAGATTGGCAGGTATGTGAGGCGGGCTGCCCAACCTGATTGACCGTCCGACTTGCTACCCTTTCAAGCAGGTTTAAGGGTATTTCCTGTGTCGGCGCAGGCTTCTGTATGGGCTGCGGTATCTGGCTTCCAGCCCCTTTCCCGCATCAGTCGCCGTACCCGCTTGCGGTGACCCTGGGTCCCTGAGTCCCGCGGAGCCAGGCCTTCATCCTGCCGAGAACCAATAATAAGGGTCGTCTTCAGATAAGCCTGCCGTCCATCCCGGCCATAATTTCCAATCCGCCGGGTTAGTCGGTGGTCGGCCCGGTAGTACACCGCGGAACGGCTGCGCTGCAACCGACACCGTGCTTTACTAGCCGAAGCCCGGGGTTCCTCGGTCTACATGCCACGCCGATACGACTCTAGCCCGGACTTGCGCGACAAAAATCCCGCTCACCTTGAGGTGCCCAATCTGCTGGTAAAGATGCGCAGTCAGCGCTTCCCTTGTCCCTCTCCGTCCTTTGAGTTCGCTGCCGAAGACCTCGGACTCTCCCTGAATCATTGCTTTCTTTCCAGGCATGAATCTGCGTGGGCTGAACTTCAAACCGGCTGGCCAACTCAGCAACGGTCTCTTCACCCTGCAGGCGGCCCAGGCTAACCTTGCCCTTGAACGGCCGGGCTGTGCTTCTTTTCTGCTCTGCTTCATTTTCCTGCTCCTCTATCCATTATTTCAGAGCGTGGCTCTCTCTATACCACCTGTCCGATTTATTGGATCCCTTCCATGATTTCACGATTCAACACGTTTATATATTTTTTCGTTGACAAAAAATATCGGGGATTAAGTCGGAATAAATTTAGCCTATTCTGGTTGAATAAAGTGGCTAGTGAATCGGCTCTTATCGCTGGCGGATAGACAGTCCACGTATTATACCTCAAAGTATTGGTCATTACCAAGTTTGAACTGGGCAGTGATGGGGTGTTCTTGAATCACTCTAAGATTGTCGGCTAATGTTTCTACGTCGTGGACATAATAGGCCGTTCGAAACGTCCGTCCAAGAAAAGAGATGTCTTCATTCCAAAGAGGCTTCCCGTCGCTGCGAAGATTACGGGCAACGAGTTTAGATGTTACGAGATGCATTTCAATAGTTAAGTCATCACTGAGTTCTGATCGAAGCTCAGCGGCCCGCGTTCTCACCTCGCCATTTGCGTTGACAACTTTGTCGGGATGAAACAGATCTAAGAATCCACTTTTAAGTTTATTGATGTCATTCCTGTTGGCCCTAGTGTCTTTGGACTGAACAAGGTAAAGCACTTTTGTTGATTCTGCCTTGGATAGATACCAAGCGTCTATACCCATATCTCCTGGTCCATCCACAGTAACCGCCTCTTCAATTTGCTCGTCAGACAGATTCTCGTCCCACAACACTTGGCCTACAGCCCAATTCCTGAATGCTGAGAAATGAGATCCTGTACGTTCAAGCCATTCGTCGACAAATGGTTGTATCATCAATGCTGAATTTTCTTCTCTTATTGCACGCTGTGTCATAATCTCCACCTTGAACTTCCGTTTCTCTTTCTTGGATAACCCACCTGTGACACGTCCATCGAGTTCCCCTGGAGGTTACGGTAGGGGCACGTTGCACCTCGAAATTCGCAGTCGAGGCGACTGAAGAAACCATCGCCGAACTTGGTGGGGAAGGGGAGACTCGAACTCCCACGCCTTTCGGCACATGATCCTAAATCATGCTCGTCTGCCAATTCCGACACTTCCCCAACATGCGAGGGCATGGGCGGCTGGGCGCCTGCAGTATGTAAATTATAGCATAGGGGCGGATGCTGCTCGCAGCAGATTTCCCCTACATTGCGCCTACATTGCCTTGAGGAGCTTGCGGCGCAATCCGCGGGGTTTGCTGTGCTCGATGACGAGGTCGGTGGCGTCGTGGAATGCCATGAAACTGCGCATTGCGGCGGCGATGTCGGCGACGAGTTCGTCTTCGGGCTGGATGCCCGGTTCGAGGTAGAGGCGCTTGAGATGCGTAGGGTGGAAGCGCGGCGTTCGAGCTTGGGGTCGAAGCGTCCGACTAATTGGTCGTTGCGGAGGATGGGGAGGCAGAAGTAGCCCCATATACGCTGAGGCGCTGGCTTGTATGCCTCGAGTATCTGCTGAAAGCCCCAGAACTGGGTGTCTCGTCCCTTTGCCCAGAAGAGGCTGTCGAAGGGGGATAGGAAGGTTGTGTGATTTGGGGTGATGTCGCCATCGGCTGCGCGCTGAAGAAGGGGGAGGTTGGCGCGGTGGACGACCTGCTCGGCGACTGTGCCGTCGTGAAGTTCGATGTTGACCATTTGCAATGTTCCCTCGTCGAGCATGCGCTGGATTAGCGGCTTCGCGGGGGTGCGCTTCATGTGGAAGTAGTCGGGAATCTGCATTGGGGGAGCAGATGCCGAGGGCGCGGGCGGACTTGTCGAGAAGGGTCAGGTACGCCTCTTCCTCAGTGGGAGGCGCGGTGTCAACCCAGTCGGGCAGGACGGTCTCGGTGATGCCGTAGATACGCTGGAAGTTGACGCGGTTGGCGATGGTTAGCGTGCCGGTGTTGTAGAGGTGCTCAAGGGCGATTTTGGCGGGCTTCCAGTCCCACCATGTGCCGCGCCTGCCGTCGGCGCGCTCGAAGTCGGCTGAGCGGGCCAGGCCATTTTCGCGCACATGCTTCAGCACTTCATCGAGCAACTGCATATTCTCGGCGGCGGTGATCCACCGCGACCGGCGGCTTCCCGTCGGCGTGGCATACCGGCGCATTGTGGGGATGGTGAAGCGGTACAGGGAGAGCGGGATGATGCAGGCGGCGTGCATCCAGTACTCGAAGAGGCGGCGGTCGTTGCTGCCTTCGATAGTGCCGTTGCCGAATGTCAGGTGGTCGAAGTCGGCGGTGTCGTAGGGGCCGAGCCTGCTCCAGAGGGCGATGTACTGGCTGCGGCGGACCATTTGCAGGGTGTCGAGCTGCACCCATCCGATGCGGTCAACGGTGTCATAGATGGTTTCGGCGTCGGGCGCCGTGTGGGGTGGAGGCACATCGAGTCCTTGCGTGTGCAGGGCGAGGGCGCGAGCGGTGGTGAGGGGGTAGGCAGCTTGGCTCGTGGTCATGTATTTATGGTAAGCGCATGAAGGCGTGGATGTATAGACTATCTGGGCTCCATTGTAGCTTCCGAAGAGTGCTTCCAAATGTCGGGCAAGCAACTACCCCAATTAGATAGTAGAATGGACGGAGGAACATAGGGTCAATTGGCGCGAAGGCGGGTTTTCATTGCAGGCGGTTATTCTTTGTCCGACATGCAGGCATCTGAACGCACCTGACAGCGGGTTTTGCGGGGGATGCTGGCGTCGGCTTGCGGACAGCATGGCGATGAGCAGGGATGAGGCGGAGACGCTGGTGAGGCGCTGGCTTCTCAGGCGGCGTCTGTTCAAGGGCGCGCGCTGGGGTGTTGTTGCGCTGCTGCTGATTGCGGTGGGCGCTACTATTGCGAATCACTACGGCGCTTTCGTCGCCCTCTGCCGCCCCCTACATCGAACATTAGCGCGCTGGCGTCGCCGGGGGACTGGGCGATGTTCCTGCGCGACCCGATTCACTCGGCGGCGGCTTCGGATGTGTCCGCAACTCCGCGAGGGAACCTGAAGTGGCGGTTCGATACGGACTTGCCGCTTTTCTCGTCGCCAGCGGTGGTGGATGGGAGATTGTATTTAGGGTCAGGGGACAATCGTGTAATCGCGCTGGATGCAAATACGGGCGAGCTTATATGGGAGCATGAGGTGCTGGGTCCTGTAGACTCGTCGCCGGCGGTTGCGGGTGAGAGTGTGTTCATCGGGTTGCGGAATGGGCGGGTGCTGTCGCTGAATAAGGATAGCGGGGAACTGCAATGGGACTTTCAGACGGGCGGGATATTTGCGACTGCGCCGGTGGTGCTGGAGGGCATCGCTTATATTGGGAGCGGGGATGGCTGGCTTTATACGCTGGACGCGCAGACGGGACAGGTGCGGTGGGCGTATCAGACAGGCGGGCATATCGCGTCGGACCCGGCTATCAATGATGACATTGTGGCGGTGCAGTCGCAGGACAGCTACCTGCATATCGTGGATAAGCATACTGGACGGAAGCGGCTGGACTATCACACGAAGTTCGCGCGCGGGTCGCCTGCGCTGAGCGGGGACTGGGTTTATACGGCGGACCAGATTGGGCTTGTCACGGCGATAGACTGGCACAAGCGGGAGATGCCGTTCGAGAAGAAAGTGCGCTGGCTGAAGACTCAGCTCTGGGCGTGGGGGGCTTTGAGGAAACTGCCGCCGCTGAAGGGGCTTGCGTGGGCGGCTTATGTTCCGGGGAGTTTGGTGGCGTCGCCAATCGTGACGGAGGACATGCTGTATGTGGCGTCGTCGGAGGGGCAGGTGTATGCGCTGGGCAGAGAGACCGGGGATACGGAGTGGACATTTGAGGCGGACGGCTTTTTCCTCTCGCCGATGACACTTGTCGGTGAGGGTCTGTTTATCGGGGACAGGTTCGGGACGCTGTACGCGGTGAGTGCGGAGACGGGTGAAGAGTTGTGGCGGTTCGAGACAGACGCGCCGATTGGTTCAACGCCGGTGGCGGCGAACGGGATGCTCTACTTCACATCTGAGGATGGGAGTTTGTATGCGCTGGAGTAAGGGTTAACATCGGTGGATGGGATGGATAAAATTTGCCACGCCTAGCCTATTGGTGTATCGTAGGTGTATGACACGCACAAATGTGAACATCGACGATCAGGCGTGCGCCGAGGTTATGCGACGTTATCACCTCGCTACGAAGCGCGAGGCGATAAACTTTGCGCTGCGAACGCTTGCTGCCGAACCTATGTCTATCGAAGATGCGCGCGCTTCGAGGGAGTGGCTGGGACGGTGATCTCGATACTATGCGCTCCAGCCGCTCGCAATGATTCTCATCGACACCTCAGCCTGGGTAGAGTTCCTGCGAAATACGGGTTCCCCGGTATGCGACCTTGTTGACGAATTGCTGGCTCACGAAATCGCCATTTGCGACGCGATAAGGATGGAGGTGCTGGCAGGCGCACGCGACGAATCACACCTGACTAGCCTACGGCGGCTGGTGGCGCGCGCGACGATGATACCAACGCGGACTACGGATTATGACGATGCCGCTGCCCTCTATCGTCGCTGTCGAAGGCAAGGCGAGACTGTCCGCAAGTTGATTGACTGTCTCATTGCCGCAGTAGCCATACGAGCGGACTTGCCAATTTTGCACAGCGACGTCGACTTTGGAGCTCTGGCGCGCCACACGGAATTGCGAATCTATTCATCGGTTTCAGAGCAGGGCGTGTAGGGCGCGGAGGGTTTCGGCGTTTTCTTCGAGGGTGAAGCCGTCGGCTTTGTATTCGGGCTGGGCGCTCATGCCGTCCACTGCGCCGGTGTCCACAGTCTTGCGGATTGTCGCCATGTCTTCTTCAACCGAGGGGAGCAGGTTTTTGCCGGAGAGCTTGGAGAGGGACGCGGCGAGTCCGTAGCCGCCCCAGTTGGAGACGCTGGCGAGGATGAGTTCGGAGACTTCGGTTACGCAGGGTTCCTTGACGAGGGATTCGACTGTCGTAACTTCGTGGGCGACGTTGCCCAAGCCGATTTCGTTGCCGCCGTCGCCGATGCCGACTGTGCATTGGTGGTGCCTGAAGAGGTAGTCGGTGCGGGCGGTGTACTGGTGATGTCGCGTCCGCGCATGTTGCGGTACTTGAGGTCGTCGGTGAAGCCGCAGCGCTCGATGGCGATGATGACTGATGGGTTATGGTCGGCTAAGAGTCGCTGGGCGAAGGCTTCGCTTTCGGCGTCGTCGGCTATGGGGAAGTCGATGACGGTGGCGGCTTCGCTCTTGGTGGCTTCCATGACGGCTGTGCCGTAGGAGTCGGTTACATAGACGACCTGGTTGCCGAGCTGCTCAAGGGCGTTGCCGATTGCGATCGCGCCGGGGGGACCGTCTGTCTCGATGAGGCCGGCGTCGAGGATGTAGAAGCCGGTTACGATGAAGGCTGTGCCCGGGTTGTCGAGGATGAGCTGCGCTGCTCGGTCGCAGAAGTCGGCGGGGACGTAGGGGCGCAAATGGGAGATGCCCCTGCGGTCGTTGTCGAGGATGATGTCTTCGATGGTCATAATATTCACCTTGTTCACTTTGGGGGGCTAACGGATTGCACCCCCATCCTAACCTTCCCCCATCAAGGGGGAAGGGACTCTGCGCCCCTATATTACGGCGAGGTCTTCGTCCATTTTGTCGGTGATGAACATGTGGCCGGGGGCGTGGGTAATCATGAGGGGCGGCTTGGCGCTCATGGCTACTGCCTGTGGGGTTACGCCGCATGCCCAGAAGACGGGGACTTCGCCGTCTTTGAATTCGACGGGTTCGCCGAAGTCGGGAGCGTAGATGTCGCTGATGCCGATGGCAGTTGGGTCGCCGATGTGTACGGGCGCGCCATGCACTGCGGGGAAGCGGGACGTTACCTGCACGGCGCGGACGATCTGCTCCTGTGCGATAGGTCGCATGGAGACGACCATTGGGCCGCTGAAGACGCCTGCCGATGATGTCGGGATGTTGGTGATGAACATGGGTACAGTCGTATCGCAGGTCATGTGGCGCATTTCCATGCCCGCCTTTATGAGCGCTGTCTCGAATGAGAAGCTGCAACCGAGCAGGAAGGAAACTAGGTCGTCTCGCCAGAACTCGCCGAGGTCTGTGACTTCTGCTGTGAGTTCGCCGTGCTCATAAACACGATAGAGAGGAGCGTCGCTTCGGAGGTCCGCGCCGGGGGCAAAGTCGCGCGGCTCGACTTCGCCTGACTCTACGACTTCGAGTAGGGGGCAGGGCCTTGGGTTGCGCTGGCAGAAGAGCAGGAAGTCGAAGGCGAGGTCGCGTGGGAGAATGGCGAGGTTCGCCTGCACACGGCCGGGTGCCATGCCGCTGGTCGTCTGGACCAGGTCGCCTTGGCGCATCATGCTGCGGAGTTCGGACGGGGATTCTGGCAGGGCTGTGAGTGTCATTGCGGTGTCTCCCTACTTAATTCATCGAGCTATCTGTCGTTGAGCTGTTCGCGCATGCGGCGCAGTTCTGCTTCGGCGCGGTCGGCGCGTGCGGCTTCTTGCTCGGCGCGCAACGCCTCTTGGTTTCCGCGAGTGACTTCTTCTTCGTAGGTTTGCAGATACTCACAGGCGATGGGGTCGTACCAGCGCAACTCGCCGTACTCCCAGCAGAGATACAGCCCCAACTCATTGCTGTATCCGCGGTATCGGTTATCGTCCAGCCACTCTACGGGAATGGGCGCATACCTGCCGTCAACCAGACGGTCTCCGGCGAGCGCCGCGTCGTGGCAGTCGCCGCCGCTCGGGTCGAAGCGCCAATACTCGGTTACGCCGTAGCGTTCGTAGTCGCTGCGCTTCACCGTGTGTCGTTCACGCCCGTCGTGCGCGACGCAACTTCCAGCACTAGGTCGGGCGGTTTCCCTTGGCTGTCTATCAAGTATCCGTTCTGCTTTATGCAGAGTTCCAAGGATGCGTTGCGGGACACCAGCAGGTCGGGTATCCGATACTCCGGCCAGTGATCTAAGCCCAGAGAGACTGGGACTTCACTGGCGACTATGGTGGTTTCGGGGCTACCGAGATGATTTGCGAGGGCAGCGGGAAACGAGCGTCGGTAAAGGTATAACCAGTTCTGCATATCTTCCCTTGGAAGAAAGTCCGGGAATCGCGTACGCTTCCCTTTGGTCTTGGTGAGGGCGATTGGCTTGCCGGTCATAACGGACCCCTCGTAGATGATGAGATGCGTGTTCGCTACCTGACGGCAGTATAACATTTCGAGGTGAAGCACGCTAAGAGAGTCCTGTACTTGGGACGATTAGGATTCACGCACTTAAGGGCTGCTCCCGAAGGAACAGCCCCTATATCTCTTTGGCTAAGTTGTGCTTGCTAAGTTATCGGCAAGAACTACGGCGTCTCGTAGCGGCCTGTTGAGGTTATCATGCCGTTTTCGATCTTCCAGACTTCGATGGTATTTAGGACGTCGCCTAA